CGATGGAGTAGACATAAAATTCCGCATGTTTTCGGACGGCGTTCTCAAGACCCTTGATCACTACCGCGATAGAAAGTTTACCGCTAACCTTATAGCCGCACAAAAATGTGGCATGCGGGAAATTAGAGAATTAATAAACTCGAAAACAATAAGATTGTCTGGTAGTGATAAGGGGGGAGAGTTCGTAGTTATCCCTCGCCAGCTGGATGTTGAGATAACGGAGGAACATCTTAGCGATGCTACTCTCTACCGCCCATCCTCTGAAAAGGAATATAAAAGTCAATACCGAAAACTAAACAATCAATGGGTCAGCGTGGTTGCGGGTTTAAAATCATCGGTTATTTCGCACTTTAAAATCGATAGACCAACATGTCCCGTCCTATACCTACTTATTAAAACACATAAGTTGGTTTCACCTGATGATCACGCGTCAACCAATTCCTCATCATTTAAGGTTAGACCGATCATCAGCTGTGTAGACGGGCCAACGGATAGAATAACCTGGTTTTTAAGCCTGATACTTACCCAGTTGCTTAACCACATTCCAGCTCACCTTACAAACACCCAAATGTTCCTAGAACGTCTACGTAACGCGTCTCCCAATAACGCGTACGTGATGGAGTGTTTCGACGTTATCGCACTGTACACCAACGTATCGAATGACTCCGCAATGCAAGCCATCTTCGAACTTCTTGTTGAACATGAAGGAAGAATAAATATGCATGGCTTGTCCATCCAGCAGCTAATGGATCTCTTAAAGGAGTGCCTAAACTGCTCGATCTTCAGATGGTCTGGGAAATATTTCGCGCAAATAAGGGGGTTGGCAACGGGACAGCGATTGGCATCAAGCCTGGTCATTGTGTTCATGTCTAAGATAGAAGCCCCTGTTCTCGATCTCCGGCCACTACTCTACTGCAGATATGTAGATGACTGTTTTGTCGTCTTCTGTACGCAGGAAGAGATGGACAAATGCTTCGAATTATTAAACGAGCAGTCCGAGTACATAAGGTTCACCCGGGAGAAACCGAGAGAAAACTGGCTTCCGTTTTTGGACGTCCAAATAAACCTATCAAGTAGCGGTTACCTGACAAAGTGGTATCGAAAGCCAAGTAACAAGAACATCCTTGTCCATTTCCTTTCCCACCCTTCACACACAAAGAGGGCGATTGTGAGAAACATGTTTCGAACAGCCACCTCTGTGTGCACTACCAGGGAACTAAAGGAAGAATCGCGCGACTTGGCTCGGCAAATAGCCATCTCCAATGGCTACGAAATAGTAACCCCACGAGATAAGTTCACAAGGAGAACGACGCACCCACGCGAAACACTTGGCCGAAACAAAATCCCGTTTATGTTGCCTTTTATAAGCGATGAAGTAAGAGCAGCTATAAAACGATGCTTAAGAAGGGCAGGTCTAGAGGAATCGGTAGCGATAGTTGAAATACCACCGACTACTCTACGTCGCCAATTAGTTCGCANTAAGGTTCACCCGGGAGAAACCGAGAGAAAACTGGCTTCCGTTTTTGGACGTCCAAATAAACCTATCAAGTAGCGGTTACCTGACAAAGTGGTATCGAAAGCCAAGTAACAAGAACATCCTTGTCCATTTCCTTTCCCACCCTTCACACACAAAGAGGGCGATTGTGAGAAACATGTTTCGAACAGCCACCTCTGTGTGCACTACCAGGGAACTAAAGGAAGAATCGCGCGACTTGGCTCGGCAAATAGNGCCATCTCCAATGGCTACGAAATAGTAACCCCACGAGATAAGTTCACAAGGAGAACGACGCACCCACGCGAAACACTTGGCCGAAACAAAATCCCGTTTATGTTGCCTTTTATAAGCGATGAAGTAAGAGCAGCTATAAAACGATGCTTAAGAAGGGCAGGTCTAGAGGAATCGGTAGCGATAGTTGAAATACCACCGACTACTCTACGTCGCCAATTAGTTCGCAGCCGCCTGTATGACCGTCTGTGTGAAACAACAAATTGCGTAATTTGCCCTTACGGCAGGGACGGTGATTGCATGAGTTCAGGTACGACATACCTGATCTCGTGTAACAATTGCGGAGATGAATATATTGGCGAAACGGGCAGACCTTTGTGTATCCGTATAAAAGAACACCTAGATGGCAAACGAAAACTAAGACGAAGCACCCCACTAGGCACGCATAGGATACAAAAGCATAGCGGAGACGATTTTGAAGTAAAAGTCAATATCCTTGCACAGGAGTCCAAAACACCAGCGCGAAAACTCCTAGGGGCTTTTTGGATCAATGCCAAAACCCTACAATGAATAGCAGGGACGAGTGCCCGGAGGTCATACGCGACCTGATCCCGTACGTTCGCATCGATTTTTGATGTGGGATGGTGCAGTCGTCTACCACATGCGACTATAATCAGCTGTTCTAAACTTCGTCATTGGAATTCACGAAAAAAGCGGTGGGTTTTTTCGAGAAGTTGTTGGTCGTGTAATTACCAAAGAGTCTTTCGTCTTTGTGTAAGTGTTATTGAAGCGTTTGGCCTAGTAGATTGTATATCAGTATACCCTTCCAGGCTCTGAAGAAGGCGATACTGCCGAAACGTCAGCTAGCGTTGTATTGTATTGTGTTTTTATGGAAGTAAATGTATGCTGTTTAAAAACCTCGCGATTGCTGAACAAGAAAACGACGCATTCATATTCCAATGCCGATGTTAAGAGAAAGTCGATCTTGGAAAGGAAAATCCTCAAACAGCAGCCGTAGCTACATGTAAAGAGTTCAAAAACTTTAGTGGATGGCGGATGCAAGAAAACGAAGCGAATGTGAAAGCGCTGGGATCCGCATAGGTGTGAAAGGTGGATCGGGTTAAAAAAAACAAAGGAAATCATATAAAATTAATGTCTGTTCAAGACGATGAGCGAATAAAGCAAATTAGAGACCGCAAAAGCAAATTTACCAGCCCACGCATCAGATAATCCTCAACAAAATCTTCCCATGAGATAGTAGGGATTTTTTTGGTGAGGTAACGGTGTTCTCGTTGCCGACGATACAGCAGAAAACCATGTGTGGAGAGCCACATTAAAACCATGCATCCACCGACTGCATAAAGTCGTCGAAATTTGGCTGAATTATTTCCACGTGTAAAATACACGAAACACTGCAAATCTCTTAAAAACCACATGTATATATATATATATATTTATTTATATATTTCTACATATACACGTGTATATGTAATATATATTTGCACGTATATATATGTATATATATATATATATATATATATATATATATATGTTGGTATGCCTCAGAAAAAGACGCTAATGGGAAAATTCGCACGAAGTAAAACTATATTTTCATACTCCAAATTTGAAATCACTCTGTAGTTTCCTATGGTGCTCGGTATTGGAAAAAAGTCAGCAAGTGGTCCCAGTTGGTATTATCATCGGTACTATGATAAGACGGTGGTAAGGCAGTGGTAGCGATTTCGCTCACCACGCAGAGGCCACAACACACCAGGCGTAGTTCGACTCCATCCCGAGCCAAGCGTCTCATTCCTCCGGGCTCGAGAAATTGGTGCCAGACCTATCCGGAGTAAGCTCATCGCTTCCAATCCACGTGCGAGCACCCTAGCACAGTTACCTCAAAATTCCAGCGAAAATCGACTCCACCAGCAATCTACGTTATTCGCGACTAGATAAATAAAACTTCAAACAGCAGCCGAAGTCACATGAAAAAAAGTTCGAAGATCTTCGTAGATGATGAATAAGAGGAAACGAATCGAATGAAGGAAATTCTGGGATCCGCGCGGTAGATGTGGGTATGAGTCGTGTACAGAAATACTGCTTCTTGATTTTCATTTCTTCTTGAATGTTGTAGTATGCTTGTCGAGTCGATTCTCCCTGCAGTCCTGAAATAGCGGTGCTAGAGCGTTCCCAATTGGACTGCAGAGAGGAGAGTGGTCGTTTTTCGGACAAGTTCATTACCAATTTTTAACCGCGGAAGGATGAGGGAGCAGGTTGGCTCCGAGCGGAATCGAACCAGCACCTTGCTCGTGATGACCGACATCACTGGCACTGTGCTATCCTCCTCACATCACATGCATCATCGTCGTTGCAATATGGAATATCCACTTCACGCTAAGAGTTAAATAGATCCACGATTCATGAAAAACTGATTTACAAACCTATGTATGTAACAATTAAAGTACGAAAAGTGACTTAAGACAGAAACAGCACTTCACGAGGGATCACAATGCATTTTAAGTTGGAAAAGTCCTTTAGAACAACGCAGTTGTACCAGCACTTAAGCCATTAACCGAATTTAAAACGTTACCACAGAGTTCACAAACGCATCACCTCATTGTTCATTTACCCCCATAACAGTCATTATCACAAAGGTAAACCAGTAGTTGGCAACTTCTTCACAAAAAAGTCCAAATAGAACTATCAATACTAAAATTTTGTACTCCTATGGCGGTTTTGAAAAATCGAAGAAAAACATCTGAGTGTTAAACACAACTGTGCGCTTAACAGTTTTACTGAACAAGGAGTGAACTATGCCTGCACTTGACACTTTAGTAACCTAAAAGAGCTGTTCCGCGAGTAAGAGTAACAGAATTCGCTCGGAATCCAAAAGCGCGAATAAGCTGGAATTCAATACTTTCTTCTACATCACCGTTAGACCCAAACACTGGTCTTCGTCAGCTACAAGGACCGACGCTGTGCAAGGAAGGGTCATAAACGTAGCTCAGAGCTAACACGTTGTTGTTACAACATAAACAGCTCGGCGAAATTCTCATTCGACATCCACACACTAAACATTCATGAAGTCGTACCTCTTTCGCTAGTATCATCACTCTTACTCGACGCTTCTGCTGGCGAAGAGAGTGACGAGAACTGCCTCCAAAGAAACCGTCGGCTGAAGCATGAAATTCTCTGACTGGGAGCTGCCTTTACTGTGACATTATACAGTATTGTTGATACGTACATCTGAAATATGAATTGTCAACAAGACAACTGCAATGCTGCTGAGGTATTTGCAAAACTCTGGACCGCAGGTGTCTGCAGCGGGGATCGAACCTCGTTACCCTTTCCAGGGGCTAACTTATTCACCATCGCACCACGCGTGCCCTTCGTTTCGCCTTTCATGCAGCCGTGTTATTGACCTATATGTGCTATCATCAAACAGAAAGAGAAAGATGAAAAGAAGAACACGCATGGTGTGGTGGTGAACATGTTGTCCCCTGGAAAGGGTAATAATGAGGTTCGATTCCTTCATCCAACACCTGCGGTCCGGAGTTTTGCAAGTATCTCAGCATCACCGTAGTTGTATTTCACATCATACCTTGTCATCAAAAACTAATAAACAGTAAATAAAAAGTGATTGGACTATCAACAATACACTTTACCATAAGCCAGACCACCAATTACATCAACCATTTTGAATGAAAATACAAAGGAATGTTGTATGGAGAGATCAACAACGAAATCCTACACATTAGAATGAGTGAAAGCGCAAACAGCACAGCGTGTGGATGAGGAACACGGTGCTGGATCGAAGCCGCCTTGATCTGAACAAGCCTACCATCCCTCTAAGGCTGGGAAATTAGTGTCAGACTAGTCTGGGCGCAATTCACTCGATCAAATTTGCGCAGGGCTCAACCATAATTTAACAATATCCATAGAGAGGAAGAAAATCCTCAAGCAGCAGCCGAACGGATGCATGTAAAGTTCGGAAAGCTTTGTAAATGATGAGTTCGAGGAAAACAATCGAAAGCAGGTGTCTCCCAACCTGAGTCCGGTGTTTCCATCACGAAGCCTAGCTAAAGCTTAACTAAAAGTAAACCAATACCAGGATCCACCACCATCCTGATATCAAACTAATTGCATGGTGGCAAATCTCCCTCTGATTAATAAAGGGCGGTGACTGCCTGTGGTGGTGACGACCTAGAGCAGAGCTTGGTCTGGCTGAACTCGGGACTCCACGGAAACACAATGGCTAAAACAGCAAAACTCCAAAAAATGAAGAATACGCCGGATCCCACACTATCAGAGAGGACGGGCCAACCAAGTATCCAAGTAAGTAAATTTTAAGACCTTACGATGATGTTCGCATAGTATTCAACTCTTTGAGTGTACCACTCATTCAAGGAAAGATAAATACGGAAAACAACGTCTTTTATAAAAAAAACCAACAATCCACAATCTACTGTTAATTATAAAACCAAATAAACGAATACTAACAGACCAAAAAATCCAGTAAGCGTAGCAGAAACCCATGTGGACTTTCATGACAGGCTAATTTCAAAGCCCATTCGTCTTCTCTGCCGTCAGTTTCAATGTGTCGTAATCACACAGCATCAAAGACGTCTCAGCTTTTCATCGAATTCCTCAAGGAGCATCGTGTAAGGGATGTTTCCGTTTGTTGTTTTGTTTTTATGCTTGTGCCTGTTTGATCAGCTTCTTGTCATTACCGAATGGTGCCTTGATTGTACCCTTTATTGACTATGCTTGTCCAGTCTTTGTGGAAATGCAAGCACTCAAGGAGATGAATGTCCCATATAATCAGGTCTCCATCAGTACACGTTGATCTGGTCTAGTCTAGCTGTTTCACCTATAGTTGTTTGTACGTACTTCTATTTAAGTATGAACGGCATGGAGTTCCGTGCTGTAGTCTTCAACGCTGCCAGTGCGGGAAATCTTCGTCGACTGAAGGTAAGGTACTTCTTTGTTCCTTTATTTTTTCAATCTTTCAGCATTATAGTCTTAGAAGGTCTGTTGTGTGTCTTCTTTGTTTTGGAGAATCGCTTTCTAAAGAATAAAAATCACTTTCGACTAGGTGTTTCTTGACGGTCGCACTTCCAAAGCATGGTTGGACAGCTGTCTTAACAGCACAGAGAGTGATAAGATTCCACTTGTTATCGCATCGAGAAACGGTCACGTTGATGTAGTGCGGTATTTAGTGAGTTATTATGGGTATCTCTATGAGAAATAGATAAAGCATGGATTTCTTTTGAAGTTCCCTTCTAATATTGGACCTCAAATTTCAAAAATAATCGATAATTTGCACTTTCAGCTTGCCAAAGGAGCCGATCCAAATATTGTAGGAACGGTATCATTTGATGGTGAAACTATATGTGAGTGAAGAATTTTCACTGCCGATATTCCATATCTCGTCATTTTTTATAAATGAGCATTACTTGCTTTCAATAAGACAACTGAGAGAAAGACGAAACGAGGGACCCGCATGATGTGGTGAGCGCGTTAACCTCTGGAAAGGGTAAAAGTGTGTTCGTTCGCTACCGCAGACACTAGCAGTCCGGAGTTTTGCAAACATCTCAACACCATTATGGTTTTATTTCACGTAATACCCTATCATTAACAAATTATAGACAGTAAATGAGAAGCATCTACATTATTTTCCTTGCTCAACGATTCTCAGTGTTGTGTTGCTTCAGATCAATTAACTAGCGTTTACATGTTATTCCGTTTTTCCTTTTTTTTAGTGGCATCAATTAGCACTTTGTATTACTGGGTTATAACCTTGAGATACTGGGTTATGGGCGAGTTAATATGGAACGCATGCCTTTACTACTGGATGACTAGGAACAAATCTTCGAACATATGTGTTATTGTTGACCACCTTTTCCGTTCGAACTCTGGACTCCCGTTTTCTCCTCACTTAAAGTTTAATATTTATTACAAGAAATGCAGTATCCTTTTCACGCATAACTGTGAAGTTCAGAGATCCTTTTGCCTTGGTAATTGTAGCTCTGGGTCAATATGTTTAAAGCGCCTGAAACTCACCGTGTGCTTCGAAACCAAGAAATTTTTTAAGATTTTTGCATTTAAAAGTGTTAAATGAGACTATTTTGTTCATCTCAGTATTCGTTGAAATGAGCTGGATATTTTCAGACGGAGCTCCAGCATTGTGGGCTGCGTCAGCAGCAGGGAAGTTCGAGGTTTGCGAGTTTTATTGTCGTTTTTTTTGCTTCTTTTAACTTGCACACTATTACATTCTGAATCTGAGGTGCTTTGGTTGTTTTTCCTACTTGATTTTTGAAGGTCGTTCGCCTCTTGGTTGAAGAAGCAGGTGCGAACATTAACCAAACCACTAATACGAGCAGTACACCTCTCCGCGGTGCATGTTATGATGGCCATTTAGAGATAGGTAAGACCAGTATAATTTTGTTGAGCCGAACTCCTGCTTCACTTTTTGATTTCGATGATTTTGAATATGAAGGTCTTATTAGGACGATATCCTTCCATCTGTGAATGAGCCTCCTCAGTTCCGTAGCAAAATACATTAGGTTAAAGTGTCTTGTTACGTTTAATTCTTATACGATATTGGTTTACATCTGTTAGAAAATCAAGATTTGTCAAAGCCTCAAGTCTTGTACTTTTATCATCGGCGAGATTGAGTGGGATCATGTTTAGCAACATTTGTTTCCCTCAGGACTTGTTAATTATGCTATGGTATAGCGTACTATGGATATCGTGGTTCCCATTTTCTTGTGATCAGTGAAGTTTCCTATCCTATTATTACAATGCTGACTTTGTTACCACGATAAACTTTTGAGAGCAGTCTTCTGTTCTTATAATAACATTTACTTCATTAACCAACATTTCTTAGTAGTAGATAGAACTGAGTATGAAATGGCAAGCCTCCAATTTTTATTTGAATATTACCTGGGTATAAAAACGATGTATTGCAGAGGTTAAACGCCATGCTTGAAAATTTTAACACGTTGTGGCAATAGAAGGGAAATCGATGGAATTAGTTCAGTTGTATTACATCTGAACCATAACTTATAAAGTATAAAGGATAAAGCTGTCGGCATTGGTCAGTCTCTGAAGGATGCGCCATGCATTAGACTTCCTTAAGCATCGTTTGGAGGTGACTGAATGCATATCTGGCCTTTACAATGATTTGTGATGGCCTGTCGATGTATTGAGTCAGTGCTGCTATCCTCCAAAACAATTCTGGTACCAATTTGCTGACTCCGGAGGGATGAAGGGGTTGGTGAGTCTGGGTATTGTGGGGCGTCTCCGGCCACTGCGCCACATGCGCCCTATGCCATAAGTTAAGGTTGGGTTATCACTCCAAATACGAGAATTTTGTTGTCGCAGTGGGAATAGTGCTTTTTTCTGCGATGTTCGTTGTTTGTAGTAAATCAGTTGTTACTGTACACAGCGTGTCCATAATTCAAACATGAAACGGACCTCAGTGAGTTCAAATAATATGGAGAATTCCGATGCTTAACAGCTATGTTTTTTCCTTTGTTCATATCGCTGTTTAATACCAACAATGAATTGGGAGATCGTTGTACAACTTTTATTTAGCTTCGAAAAATTTCGGAGGATTTATTCACTTTTGGAAAACCAACTGTGGTTAGTTCCTGTATATGAAAGTTGTGCGATTTAAATATAGGACCTTGACGCTTTTTGTCCTCTCATTCCTATTACATTTGTAACGCGTTATCTTTCAGTGAAATATCTCGTGGAACACGGTGCAGACATAGAAGTAGCCAATCAGCACGGCCACACTTCTTTAATGATAGCTGCGTTTAGACAAAAAGTAAGTTTCTTAAGTATCCATTCTTTTGTGTTATGGAGTTACTTCCTCTGCTAATTTTGTGTATTTGGAGGCTTTGAAAAGTTTAGGTGGACGTTGTAAAATACCTTATCAGTTGTGGTGCTAACGTCAACAGGAGTAGTAAGAAAGGTTTGTCGAAACTTAAATACGCGTTTTTCGGTTCTCAATTTTGGAAATTCATGTACAGTAGTTCAAATGTGACAATAGAGGGTGTAATTTTTATATGTTTCTCTAACCAGTTAATGTTTTTTCCACTGGTTCATATGAGAGAAAAAAACTAAAATCACCCATACCCCATAGAGAAATACCTTTCTAATCGAGAACGGACTTCGAGGGCTTCGCGTTTCTTAAAAATGTTACATGCAACGCTTGTATTATTACGGCACCAATTGTTCTTCTACCTTCTTCGTTGTTTTCAAACACCAATTGATACAAGGCGTCAAATATTAACAGGCCATATGTGCGCTTATATTTTTCTCCTTCGATATGAGCTGGAGTAGGGCGGTTGAATTTATTTTCATCAGCATGCCAAACTGTCAGAGTGTTCTCATCATCTTCATAGGGTGTAGTGGTTTGGCATTTCTGGTCACCAACTTAGCATATTTATTTTATTCCTCCGTTGACCTTTTTGTGAGAATGTTTATTGAATTTTTCGTCTTCGCGTTTTGTTTTGCCAAAATAACCAGTTTTAGGCGGGCTCAGTGACATACAGTTGCCTTACTGGTTTCACTTTAAAGGCAAATTTTTGGTTTTGTTGGGTTAAATGGATGGGAAATTCAGCAATATATTGAAGTTGTTTCCTACGTGATACAGCTGGCATTTCTTCTACTGAAAGAGAGAAAGATATGATGCTCGACAAGTCCCTGGAGCGAGCAGACCTTACTATGCTATTCTTGCACGCGACAGGGAAAAATGGAAGATTTACTGGCACCCGCTCAAGTCACTCGACGATCAATGGGACTACAGGTGATGTAGGTGATAGCTGACACAAGGTTAGGATAACTTTTACTAGGCTAACGTTTCAACTAAAGCTATCGATATATAGTTTTATATTTCAAGGTAAGTTCGTTTTACCATCGCTTCAATTTGGTTCAATAAATTCTTCTCCTTGAGAGAATTTTAGGAATTACTGACCACTCATACTCGTAAGAACTTGTACTTCAGTACGTTGATATTTTAAAAATGATAGATCAGTAACTGGTATTGAGTAACAAGAAAGTTCCCTCAATTTCATCAGTATAGTAGCGAATGTATATCATGAGCATTGACTTTAATGCTAGGATTGGACCAAGAAGAACGACTGAAAAACGTCTTATTAGGGTCTACTGATTAGAATAGAACGAACAGAGTGAGCAGTTGTCTGAGTTTATCATGAATCGTGACGACCAAGACCACTCATGATAACTAGCAATTCCGGAAGATCTGTTCTCAACGCTAGACGTGGGAGTCTCCCAATATAGAGTACCATAACGAAAAAGACCACATCATGGCAAATCAAAGATTTTGGCCTACCGATATCGCTATCATCGCAAAGTTCTACACGAGATCAGACCATCATCTGTTTTCTACAAGATTTCATTTCTCGAGGGAATGAGAAAAAGCCGTTAACTTCAAAAGGCGAAGTCCCAAAACCATTAACTAGGATTTACTTTTTTCATCCAGAACCGAAAAAAAATGCCGAGCAATATCTCTACTCAAACCCTAATGATCTTTGAAACGCGGCATCAATTTTTTCACTCCAACACAAAACTACCAATCTTTTCTGTAATTGTGGGTTTTCTCATTCCGTCATTCATTTCTGCGACTCGTTAACCCCAGGCATCGACTATTAGTGGAATACTTCATGAAAGTGAATTGGTTTAATCCATCCAAACAGGAGTCAGTAACTCACTGCGCGCTTAAAATTCTTCGAGGGTCACGAGGTACTAGGTATTCTGGGCACCGAAGGCTGTGGCCATCATTCACACCTTCGACGTCATCCCCATTCCCTTTCTTAGTTTTTCAGTGGAGAACGCAAGTGGTGGCAGTCTCAATGTCCTTATTACCAACTTTTGTAGTGACTGATTCTTACAAAACGCATATTTTTTTTTACCGAGTCTCATAATTCGAAATTCAAAATGAGATTTCATTTAGCAAAATGCGATCAAATTCATATCATTTGTGTTTTGGACTGTTGCACTTGCTATAATCCTTGAACGTTGGAATTTACTTCTTAAAAACATGAAGTGAAGATAATAGTTCAAAAAAGTTTTATTTACCTTTAGAGCGAAAGAGTAAACTGTGTTTTAAAGGTCTGTCGTGTTGCTAACCGATAAAATACTTAATTTGTCGAGAAATTACCGGAATTTGTCGAAAAAGCAGCACGTCCGTTATGTGTTGTAATTTTTACTGTATTCCCAATAACCGTGGTGAATCATGGTTATTGTATGGAATGGCAGCTATAAAGAATATAAAGTCCTCATGTGTTTGAAACTGCCTCCTAAATGCAGGAATTACCGTGCTTATTCTGGACGGGTTTCTTTTTTCACCACGACGAAGAGAACTTGACGATCAAAAAGTATCTGAAAACATGTTGTAGAACTTGGAATATGCTATGGAACAAAAGATGCTGAGACTTACCTTTTTATTCCACATGATCCTTCTTCACACTTACTATGCGTGCCATCTAACTTCTTGCATTCTATTCGTTTCCTCGCATCCATCATCCAGGAGGTCTTTGAACTTCTCACATGTGGGTTGGACTGCTGGTTGAGAATTCTTGCCTTCTGTTCGAGTGTAGTTGAGTGCTAGTTCGGTCGTTTCTCCCTCTAGTACTGAGATAATTGTGCTAGAGCGTTCCTGCGTAGATTTGAGAGAGTGAATTGCACCCAGACTTATCTGGTACCAATTTTCCCCACTCTCTAGAGACGAGAGGTTTGGTGAGTTTTGCTGGTTGTGATGAAATGCTGCGACTATTGAGTGGATTTATAGCAAAACCAAATTATGGAATGAAAACTGCAATGGAAGGTGAAGAGTTACTCACTAGGTTTGCAGATCGACCGAAATGTGTTGTTGTCAACTCAAAGCGACTAAGGTAGACTCTCACTGTTAAATTATGTTTCCTAATAGTCTATCAATTTCAATTTTATTGATTATTCTGTTTTACTAACTTAACTAAGTAGTCATTGGTTTCATTGTATTAGCTTTATTTCATTTTATTCCACTTTATTAATTTTATTGCAAAAATTTTTCTAGTGGATAGTTGATTTGTCAATCTTGTTCTTCAGGTAACACAGCGATGCACGATGCCGTCGAAGGAGAAAACCTTGAGGTGTGCACATTACTGTTAAGTGCTGGTGCTCGTCTAATGCCGGATGAGTTTGGAGTATGTCCGCTTATGTGCGCCGTAATGATAGGTGCAGACTGGGTATGTTTCTTTTTATGAAGTTAATTAATTAAAAGAAAAGTCTTTTGAGGTGCAGACCTCCGGTGAATGAGAAATTTAGTACAAGTAGATCACTTTTATCTCATATTTTTCTTTGTAGGTTTTGCCCATGTTATTAGAACATTGCGAGTCGAGCGAGAAACGTCGTGATGCTCTTAAACTACTTGGATGTACAAGGGTGGATAAAAAGATGGATATGGTTGGAGCAATTGAGGCGTGGAATGATGCAATTAATGTTCCACTCACTGACGAGGATAGGAAACATGTTGGGAATTTATAGTGAACCATCATTTTTAAGAACACTAGTGTTAATGCGAATGCGAATAAATTGCCAACAATTGTTCGAACTGAGCCTGTAGGTTGATGAGGCGATCGAACGATTTATGGTTCCTGATGTATATGGCGGCCTGAAAGAAATACAAACATTAGAGGACATACGAGCGATTGAGGATAGTCCGGATGCAATTCGAATGCAGGTAAGTTTTGCTTCAGTTACGAAGCAATGTTCTTTGTTATCCCATTTGTGGCTATACCATCCTGGCATAATGAACTGCCCGTTTCTTATTGATCTGTAGGGTTGCACATAATAGCTTCCATTTACTCATGTTTTCCTAGAAGTTAAATAATCTTCTCGTATTACATACGAATCCGGGGTGTTGGTAGTGGTAACGGTTGTAAAAGAGCTTTTTTTAAATCAATGTACTGTAGACAGAACTAGCTGAGAGATAGACGAGACGAAGGACTCGCATGCTGTGGTGGTGAACGTGTTACTCCCCGGAAAGGACAATAGCGCGTTCGTTCTCCACCTTAGACACCTGCGGTTCAGAGTTTTGCAAATATCTCAGCAACGTTGTAGTCGTATTTCGCTTAGTACCCCCACCGTGAAAACTGTAGTAGGCAGAAATTAAAAAAGTAAAATCAATATACTCTTTTCTTTGGTGTTTAGAGCAGATACTGGCGTTATTTTGCACTTCCAATCTATGTTTTTTCGTTGGCCGATTGGTCCCATACTCTAGATTTTTTGTTACTGGCGGCAGATATTATACAAAAGGATGCTCTATAATAAGTGGAGCGAAATTGAGCGGAAACACATGATTGGCGCCTAATTGCCGGCACGTCTCAGATCGTAGCCGCCATTCTTGATTGTGAAGAGGATGACCTCGTTTCAATAGGAGCACTTGGCATCTGGGAAGTAGCCGAGCATAGGATTCGAAGAATGTAATTTTGAATAATATTCAGGAAGTTACTGGACATGCTTTTGGTTCTAGTGTTATGCTTGGTTGGAACTGGTTGTTTTAACATATTTTGGTCAGTACTTGTGTGTTTTCCTTCCAAAGGTCAATTCCTCAATAAATTAGCCATCTTCTTAGGTGCTCGGATGCCGATCAGCAGAATTTCCCTCGTCTTGACCACGTGTATTTGGTCAAGATTTGTCCAATACATTCGTGATATCGCGTAGTTTTCCATCCATCGCCGCTTATTACTGAATTCCATACATACGGTCTCATATTCCTTTCTGTTCAAAAGAAACATGGTATCTTGACCATCAGAATAAGTTTTCTATATTACTCTTTTTATAGAGGGGATTCCAGAAAGTGGCAAATACTCATAATTGCTCCAGTGCACAGAAATCTTTGGTAAAAGGCGAAAGATTCTCTCGGTCAAATGCAATGGAACCAGAGAAGCAAGAGGGCGGATAGCGTAGCGGCTTTGATGTCAGTTCTGGTTCTATCCTGCTTCCAACTCACCAAGCCTCTTTTCCTTTCGGGTTCGGGAAATTGCTACTGGACGCTCTGGCTCGGCTATCTCAGGACTCTAGGGAGTATCGACTGAACCAGCAGTAAACGACATTAATGGTGAAAGGGAAACCCTCAGACAGCAGCCTAAGCCACACGTAAAAAGTTTGAAGGCCTTTGTGGATGACGGATGCAACGAGATGAAGCGAATGTGAAAGCGCTGGAATCCGCACGGGAGGTGTGAAAAACGGGTCTTATAAAAAAGGAAATACACTAAACAAGAATAATTGTGGGGTTAATACGATCGTGTAACAGAGATATCTTAGTACTCTTCTAACCGGAAACAATCTCTGTGCAATTGGATGAAAAAGGATAGTTAGGGAAATCGCCAAATGGATTATGAAGAGCGAAGAACTTTCCAATCTTATTTATAAATTGGACTCTGTAGAGTAGTTTTTCACGGATGGTGTCAAGTGTATCTGTTCTAAGGAAGCTGTTGTTTGTTTGAAAAATAATCTGGCAGCAAGAAGGTTGTGCAGCAAACGAAACATTCGCGAAGAATATCGAAAGAAATCAATTCGTATAGTTACCAATGTATTCATGCTCCATAGAAGTTAGAAATAATGGAGAATTTTTACTAGTTTCCTTCACACTAATAAATATAAATTTGATGTATCGTCGTTGTATTTCGGTATTAAAACGAAATGTTCTGAAAAACATGAAACATAACGCAAAGTTTTATAGAGAAAATTGGTCCCTGAAGACGAAGCAGTTAGGCTTGGGTAATTGTGGACAACGGGTTGTCGTCGCATTCATTAGTATCGCTTTGTCTGTGATCGACAATGTGCGCGAATATGTTTCGCAGTTACAGTAGGCGCGGACGGAAAGTGAGCCGCTAAATCACACCACTCACGCGACGTCGTCTAATGAGCAGATCGTAAATCAGCCCCGTTTATTCATGCTTTCGTAAGTAAGTGGTACCATGTTGAAGAAGGGGTATTGATATACTGCAAAGCTTGCTTACGGTAGATGTACACGCTAGTTTTTACGGGTGAGAAGTGTAGGCAGCTTGTGATCAGTTTTTTTTTTTTGCGTTTTTCTTTTGTCTTATAATATCTTTATGCAGTGTACTGTAAGAGTAAGGCAACTATTTCCTGGGATCCATAATTCTTGAATTCTCAGTAGGAGTACTGAAGATAAAGGAAGTGAGGAAGAGCCTCTTGATATACTTCTACGAATGATTCGTGTGATGTAGGAATGGTAACACCTCCGAATAGAAAAGTGTAGTTATCAGCACTTGTCTTCCTTCCATCACAGATTGTTCCACTATTGGTTTGACGAAGTAACGTGCTTGTTTCTTCTTATAGGCGTTGTTGATTCGTGAGCGTATACTGGGTGGTGCTCATGGTGACGTACATTATTACCTTCGCTTCCGAGGTGCAGTTTATAGTGATCTCGGTTATTTTGATAAATGTTACGAGTTGTGGAGTCACGCCTTAATTTTACAACAAACGTGAGTCTTTAATATAAGTGTAATTGGTTCAGTTATGTCTACGTTTTATCCAAATATTTCTTACAAGTGCTGTAGAAGAGTAGTGTATCATCAGTGAAGGAATAGTAGGATTAAGTTCCGATTTTGAGGCATAATTTCTACTGTCTTAGCATATCTTTCGCAGGCATCTTACCCCACTTCATTTATCCACTCAAACAATGTTCCAAGCGTTTCTGGAGACCTTCTTGCACACTTTAAATGATCGGGCAATCCATATGGAACTTGCTGGGCGTCGAAATTCACCGCCAAAATACGATATTATTGCTTTTGTTTTTGAGCGAGTCTGTTACGAGTTAGAAAGGGTAAGTTAGTGTTTGACGAGCAATGTTATTAGTTTGGTTGTTTATAACAATAGTTTTTTTTTTACGGCGTAACTTGTATAGGTTTCCTGTTGAACATCTCACAGTTGAAATTTACATGTTTTAGCTAGTCGAGTGGGGTGAACGCCCTCTAACCGACTTATGTAACTGCGGTGATGATCATGTTCATCATAGCTGTGATGATGAGAAAAAAAGGGTGGTCTTACTTGGACTTCAACTTCTTGGCCTAGTATGTGTTGTTTGTTTGTTTTGTTGAAATAAATTGTAATTGCTTTGTCTGCGTTTTGTTTTGTAAACTATACATTCTCAAAATTTTTCCCCGTTATGTTGACTTACTAGAAACTATTATCTGTATTTCTCCCATTTTCTTTGAACCTTTTTCGGTTGTTTTAGATGAATCGTTTGTCTTTACCCATGCATGACGAGGAAGACGATGATGATATAATCGAGTTCTGTAGAGCATCGGAATCAGTGAAGGTAAATTTCCTTTTGTACTGTTGCAAGCATAAATTCAGAAAGCCTGGAGAAAGATGGTCGACTCTTTAGTCGTCTTTGTGAGTTTGAGTCAAAGAAATCGGCATCGTTTTTTCACTTATCGTCCAATTTCACTACAATCTTATCCTTTTCCGTGTTTCAATTCTTTAAATCAGGTTTTGGTTTGCATTCGGTTTCAACTCTTCTGCAGAGCTGTGTGTTTTACATCATTTATATAATCTTAACCCTTTTATTTACTGCCTTTTTCTGTTTTAATGGCAGGGTATGTTCTATCGATATAACTTGCTGAGAGACAGGCAAGACGAAGGACCCGGATGGTGTGGTGGTGAAGTGCACTGCTCCCCGGTAAGGACAACAGCCCGTGTTCGTTCCCCACTGCATACACCTGCGGTCCGGAGTTTTGCAAAGACCTCAGCATTTCATACGAATTATTCATATACTTAAAGACGTGGTGTTCTTCGTTATCTAAAAATTCTTTCCTTTCAGTTAATGTTTTAGTAGAGAGCTCATTATTGTAGATAGACGTCCGACGCTTGGTGATTGTTTGTCGAGAGCTAGAAATTCCCTTATTACATCTGGCTGTGAAAGAAATCGATGTCTCTGATTATGATGGGTGTGGTACCAATATATTAATAGACCTTTTTTGATTTTTTTAATCACGCAATTTTAGTGTGCCGTCGTATTTTGTTGTGAATCGACTACTTGCCTCAGGTGTATGTGTTAATTCAAAGGATGCTGATGGTAATACCGCGTTGCATGTAATATTGAAGAATTCACATCCAAGGTGGGTACAACATTCCGCTTGAAACTTTTAGAAGTCTTTATATGGCCTCATACGTAACCGAAATAGTTCTCTTGGGTGATCAACGAATCGATTGATTAACGCAGCACATTTCATGGTTAGCAGTTGTTCATGTGCTAGAATCATGGTTATGAAAATGCGCACATTTTTCCTTTCTAACTTATTAAGTTTAGGAAGAAGGTGTATTAATAAAATTTCCAGAATAAGCATTGTTCGCCTTCTGCTGGAATATGGTGCCTACGCCTTAGCGCGAGATGCTAATGGGGAAACATGTATTGAAATAATCGCAAGCATGATTCGGTCGTCACCGTTCTCGTACGCTTTACGATTCGGTAAGCACTTGGTGATCGACATTCTTTGCCGGTTTTGGTAGTTTTTTCTCAATTTCAATCACACCATGATTGGGAAATTATCATATAAATACCTCGCTTCACAGTCATCTATCTCAGACAGTTTTTATTTTCATCATTTTTTTATCGCTTTGGATGTCATTTAGTGTTTGTAGATAGTCAGCTTTCAATGTAGACGAGCAGTTCTGTTCTTGATGAACCTCTAAACACTGTATTTTTTCGAAATTAACAACTATTAAATAGCTTCTTCAATTTATTGCTTAACTATTTTTACGCTTTTTTTCAGGAAAATACATCACTCTTAAAGGCCTAGCCGCAAATGCAGTTCGAAGGTGTAAACTTGCGCACGAGAATTCGATCCCACAAGACCTAATTTTTTTCACGGAGTTACATTAGCTCTGGTGATAGGCTTCAGCCGTTTATCAATTGGATTGGTCTATCTCATCATTTCATTCAGTGATGTTCTATTAATAAGCTTTACCGCTCAGGAATTAATCATACCAACAACTGTAGTCATGAGTGTGGGATTAACATTGCGAGATATTTCGTCATTAGTGATATCCAAAAAAGGCGCATAAAAGCGCCAAACTTTTTTTCAAACAGTTTTACAGCCAATGCATCTCGACCACAGCTCCCGTAATGATGGATATCTTTTTGTTCTGTTTTTTAAAACTCGCATGGAATACCAGATCACTTTATTAAAGCAAGTAATTGTTTTTCTTTCGATTGACAAATTAGTCCATGTTTACTTCAGTATCTTGAATATCCTGGTACATAGTTAATGTATCCTTAATAAGGAGTGTTTTTTTCACATTGGTGTTGAGTTTTGGTGGGAAGTCTTCCCCAATTGAAACGTGGAGATCTTAGTGGCCACAGCACTCAGTTTTAGAAAAATTTTTGGGATTTGCAATATACGAATAGCTCTCGATGATTTTGCAGATGTAACTCCTAATATGCCGTTTATTTCATGCTCTCTTTCTAGTAAAAAGTGGTTAGGCATTTCTGAAAGGTATTTAAAAGGGCGATCGATGTGAACTCCTAATGATTTTTCCGCTTAAAGATTGATCAACAAAAACGCCCTCTAATTTTCTTTCACGTTGGATCAATACTCTTTTCTGCTTTTTTTCTTGTTTTGACTACCAAAGTCATTGTATACAAAGTCCTAAACAGTTTTATACCATGATTTTATGGCGTTTCACTTACCGTATAGTAAATCAAGCAGGAGGTATGCGCAAAATATGCCCCATTGGCTGAAAATACTTCTGCGGTGGTTGTTCCTAGGAGTTTCGTGAAAACTGTATGTAGAACTTGATTTTTGACAGATTCATTAGTAGGATCAGGCCAAATAGCTTGTCTAAAAGTTTTCCTCTTTCATGGTATATCCAGTATAGGTCTACTGTTTACATTCATATCAGCGAGCCATTAAAAAGTTGGAAAATCGCAGGAAAGAGATCTAACGCAAGAAAAAATATTTGTGATGTACTGGATGCGTTGAGATCTACGTGCCGAACTTTATCCTGTTCTTCACGTATTGGTTGATACTTAAGGAATTTATTTTTGCCCTTTTTTGTTAGGAAGTGGACAAAGTGTTCAAATTTCTATTGTCTGGTTTAAATGCGGCGTCTTGATTATGTTTAGCTCCATCCTGACAATCAGCAGTCCATGTTTTACGTCTGTTTATGTGATTGCCGATTGTTTTGTAAACTTTTGAAGTGGTGCCATATATGCCTTTTTTACTCTCTGATTTATCATTAATAAGGTGAGAAGTGCTTCTGACGTATGTCACATTTTTCATTGTTGTATGTTCTCACCATGTCAACATCCATTAACGCGAATCCAAGGTTTTTTCCTTGGCCTTATAATGGTGTACAGTATTTGTTTCTTAGGACAGACATGTGCGTTAGTACTTCGTGATCAGTTCGCACTAAATTTTCTTCTTCTTTTGTAGAGTATATAAATAGTTCTATAGTTATACCAATGCTCTGAAAAGTGCTGGTATTTGTATCCTTGTAACTGAGTAGGCTTTTTTTTAGCCAAGGTGAGTACGATTATGTGTTCTTAATAAGCAAACAGTTCTTCATTAATGCAATATTTATTCCACAATAGCCAACGTTTTGGTGAATTCTACCTTTTCCAGATATCGGGACGTTTACTCACAATTCTTAGTAAAGTGCTTTCACAATCATAGGTTTGAAAAACTGAAAACGTAAATTTAAAATTAGAAGGGTCTCTAGGACTACATGCATTGATTTCAATGCGCACAGTGCGCGGCGAGGAACTCCCAAATGGCTGCCGTTTGGTACCGTAGTTGTGCTGCTTGGGTTGTAAGCAGTTACGCTTGTTTTTCGTTGACTTCATGAATTGAATGTTGCGATTGCACTTAGTAGGGCACAATGTAAAGCAGCGTTGAGGGCTTATTTGTAAGTGGCTGTGGTAATTTCAGCACATTCTGATAGACAGAGATTGCTTATTTTGACTTGTTTTTTTGTAAACGTTACTCTACATCGTTTAACACAAATCGGGTGTGCGCATATCGGAGTAAGCAGGGATGTATTGTAATGCACACGAGATTGTCGCTTGAATTCTGCACGCTGGGATTCTCCGACTCTTCCTGTATAGAAAGATAGGTACCTGAATGCCTGGGAGAATTAAAAAGGTCCCCGTAAGCTATTGTATTGGCCAGATATGCATTCAGTCACATCATCTCATTCTAGGTGAGGAGTGCGTAGCATAGCACATTCCTCAGGGATTGATCAATCGCTGAGCTTCTCCTTACTCCTTAGAACTTTGTGTGATGACGAAGTCCTGAATTCACGACTTAAGCTGTCTGCACGACAACAATATACAGAAATTCGCTTACAGCTCTAGATGAGCATAGTTCAGACTTCATGGAGGCATCCCCATGTTTGTTCCGTGAATACTTTTATACGTCATACTTAACATTGCACTTTTTTAAAGTGTGGATGTTAAATGATATTGTAGTGCTAAATTTTTGTTTGCAGTTGTATCTAGTTTGCTTATATTCTCGTTAAACAACGGGTAACTGAAGTGGATTCAAATAAATTCCGCTCTTAAGTTTGAATGACGGTAGGAACTTGAGACGTTATTAATTTCGTTATTAGTAGAATTCCATCAGATATAGGTCTGAAGCAGGTGTTGATCGTCATCGTTGGCTTGGTGAAGATTATTCCGGAAGATGGGTTTCTTCGTCTCTTTTTTGAAGGTTTTATAAAGTACGCGATGTGATGGGAGGCGACGGGATACTCGGGCCGTCGGCGATGATTGATGTCGTGGATTGGACGAAATTCCCATGAGCACTGGTGGTGATGATCGTCCAACTATCACTGCAAGCTCTGCAGCTTCTCTAGAATTCTTACTTCTTTGTGCTTTTAATTTCCGCAATTAAGCACCAGATAAGGTGTGTGGGAATGTTGAGTGTTCCTTTCAGTATAAAACGTTACGTAATGCCGTCCTTGAGTTGATGTGTTTCACTGTAAAAACATGTATAACAAGTAAGAAAACACTAGAAGTTCATCATTTGTTCAAAATCACCATTTTTGAAGTTTCTAATGAGATTTTTTGAATGCCTGTCGATATCATATAATCGTTACTGCTTGTAATGTGGATTTTTTAATAGCTCGTTCGTTTTCCATATTTCTATGAATTACAGCCTTGATACGAGATATCCACTAAATCTTTGGACCACATATTTCATAGATTGTTCAGCCTACATAATGTTGGTGTGGAGCTGCAGTAAAGAAATCCAAAAACCAAGAAAAGGTTCGGTTGTAAAGCTGCTTTTCCTCAAATTCGTTGGTTGAACTGGTGACCACTACACGAGCAAAATATTGGGGCAGTACGAAAAAAGAACCGGAAGCGCTATGACCACCATTGCCACTGGCAATGAATGTTTTTCTAGTTTATAAGCTATAATACAAAGCTTTTGGAAAATTTGCTCTATTTTGCACTCCGTCACCGTCGCGTTCTGAAATGAAACCTTTTCTAACAGTGAGGATTTTTTTATGCGACTCGGCATCGCGTATTGTGCCGATCCCAGCATTTCTTTCATTCGGTTCATTGTTTCGCATCCATCATCCACTAAAGTCTTCGGATTTGCGTGTGGTTTTTGCTGCCGCTCAATTGTTTTAAGTGTTATTCGTGGATATCATTGAATGTCGGCCGAGTAATTCCTATCTTGAATCCTGCTATTACTGTACTTCAACTTTCCTACGGGACATATTAAGTACCTTAAATCATCGGAAAATGAGAAAGATTAATACAGACGTCTTTCGTGACACACTACGGTTGGATTGAGAAAAATTTTAAGATATCTGTTTGCTTCATATTCGAAAGGTAGAATTTTCTGAATCCAAAATAGTGCTCAGGTTTGCTTGTCTTCATTGAGATACTCATTGTACTTACACTGAATCTTTACCTAGAAAAACATAATCTATAATAGTAAAATCTAAGTAAGTCATTAATTGCTCATCGTTTAAGTAAGGTCAATTAAGGTACTAAGGAAGTAGTCAGAAGTAGAACTTTTGGTGGTTTAGCTGTTTTCTCATGTTTTCGAGCTAACCTTGTAGTTAATGAAGCGGGATTTCATTCTGTGGTCGCGCGTTCTCCATTGGTATGGTTTCGGCCAAATTCTTGTTTTACAATCGATATAATTTCGAGTTCTGTTTCGTAGCGATTTGTTAATTTAAATGAGGCATGTACGGAAAAGTTCAATTTAAAACTAGCTTCAATTCTTGAATGTTTGTGGTAATATTTCGAGCTGTAAATGAATTCAATCAGAGGAATGCTGAGATATGTGCAAAACTGGGAACCTTAGTTTTACTTCGAACCCTTCATCACCCGTACTGGGGCTCACATGCTGTCGACCACACCAGCCGAAACTCTTGCTTCGCCATCCTCTCAGCCATTTTTGAATGAGTAATAATAACAAGAATGTATATAAATACTCCTTACTGTCTTTCTATCTAGTGTACTGCAATCTCCAAGTTTCACATAAGACTTGATCTTTTGTTTGACATTAGTTCTTCCATGCACTCTTCAAACCCTAGGTTTTCGTGACGCTCTAAAAATTATTTACTTCCTAGAAAACTGGAAATTGAATGCGTTTACGGTCTTGCTATATTTCCGTATATTTTCTGTCATACACGTATAAAATGATGACTTACAGAAGTTTTTGAAAAAATGGGTCCTGAAATTACGGTTTTCTTGGACGTGAGAATAGATCCCAGAAAGAAAAAAATAACGATCTTTATTATTTGATACCTGGATGGACCATATTCGCTCTTGGTGAAGAGTCTTGCGCATCCCAAAACAACTTTTATTTCATTGATATTTGCAAGCTAGGAAAGGTATTTTTTTTTTTCTTTAGAAAGCTCAGA